GGTGGTGGTAGTGGTAGTGGCAGTGCTGGCAGCAGTAGTAGTAGTAGTAGTAGTAGTAGTAGTAGTAGTAGTCGCCGTAGTAGCAGTAGTGGTGTTAGTCGCAGTACTTCTGCTCCCGATCCCTTTTCACGATGCTGCAGTATCAATCAAAGCCAGAGGACAGCTTGCAAGTCCTGTATCGCAAAGCCACTGACATGGAACGGAGCATGACGCCCAGTGCAGCTCTCCTACAAACCCTCCTCCACAACTACCCTAAATACCAAACCCTAAACCCTAAACTCTAACTTTGTTGCAGAAGGTGTTCAACACAGCATAATGTCGGCTTCAGGCAGCGCCAATGATGGGCTCCCAGTTTGTGGTGCCGCGTGGCTCCATGGGGGTCGCTTGTGCGGCATTCCAGTACATCTTCGTTTTGGATTCGGAGGATATAGTGTTTAGGGCTTAAGGGAAGGCACTTTTGAATTTACGGATGTTCAGACTGCAACCTAATCTTATAGGGTTTAGGGTTTAGGGGCTTCATTTTGCGATTCGGAGGATTTTTGAGATACGGCTGTTCAGAGTTCAGAGTGCAACCTAATCTTACAAGGCTGTATAGCCATGCAGAGCCTTTGTCAAAAGCCAGGTTTCCATGTCCTACAGCCAGAATATGAGATTCGAAGCCTGCACCTCGTAGCGGAAGAAGAAGAAGTACTAGAACAACGATGACAACGATGCCGACAAGGAAAACAACAACAACAGAGACGGCAAAAGCAACAACATCGACAACAACGACAACGAGAACGAGAACGATAGCGACAGCAATAGAGATTTCAACCGCAAGAGCAGCAACACCACCATCGAACACATGGAAAACACATCAACAAGGGCAGGTAAAATCAATGATAGACTTAGGCCGAACGTATATCTCAGCACTTGCTGCGAAGAAACAAATAGCTAGCTGTCATGTCGTCATGGTCGCAGTGGTCTTGTGTGTTTGAGTATGTTGAGTTGTGAATAGAACCTGTCTTCCACCAGCACCTGCATTAGTACCAGTAGGAGGAGTAGTAGTAGTAGTAGTAGTAGTAGTAGTAGTAGTAGGATTGGAGTAGGAGTACGAGTAGGAACGGCATGAGCCGTAGCAGCAGCAGTAGCAGCAGTGGCAGCAGCAGCAGCAGCAGCGACGGCAGAAGAAAGAGTAGGAGCAGCAGCAGTTGTAGTGTCAGAGCTGTGTCAGTGCTCGTCGTCGCAGTCGTCGTCGTGGTCGTCGCCGTCGTCGCAACAGTAGCGAAGACAGTGATGGCTTCGAACGAGAAAAGAAGCCACCACAACGACAGCACCAGCACCAATACCACAGAAGACTAGTATAGCCTCAATATAGCTGCGTGGACGAGGATGATGATGGCCATCATTACACATTGAGGATGGTGACGACCACTTGTCCATGTCAACACTCGTCGCAATATCTAGCAGCTAGCAAGCCAAACCGTGTGGTAGCAATGGTGACAGGCGACATCTGTCAGGGAATGGCCATGATGGTGATGGCCGCCATCACCCACCGTCATCATCGTCATCGTTGTCATCGCTACCACCACCACCACCACCGCCACCACCGCCATCACCGTCATTCATCATCATCATCGTCATCATCACCGCCATCAACATCATCATCATCATCAACATCATCGTCATCATCATCATTGTCATCATCATCGTCGTCATCACCATCATCAGCATCAGCATCATCATCATCATCATCATCATCATCATCATCATCGTCGTCATTATCGTCATCATCGTCATCATCACCATCATCGTCGTCATCATCACCACCATCATCACCATCATCACCATCATCACCTTCATCATCATCATCATCATCATCAGCATCATCACCATTTTCATCCTCACCACCATCATCGTTATCACCCTCACCGTCACCGTCACCGTCACCGTCACCGCCACCGCCACCGCCACCGCCACCAGCACCAGCACCAGCACCAGCACCATCACCATCATCATCATCATCATCATCCTCATCATCATCATCATCACCATCACCATCATCATCACCATCACCGTCACCATCACCATCTCTCTCTCTCTCTCTCTCTGAGCGCAGCGTCCCGAGAAACGCCTTGCGAGGCTGGGAGCGGACAGGCTTCCTCAGGAGCCCGGCACCGAAGCGCTGTGCTTTGCACATCCGGTAAATGGATGAGCGCCCCGTAGGGCCGCCTCACCCGGGCACGAATGCCGATCCTAAGAAACTAAGAAACAAAGTAGAGCAAAAACTGTTTTCACAGATGTGGAGCTACATGGCCAGCTGTACAGGCCCATATGTCTCCTCGCCCTGTGAGCTCTCTGAGCTCTCAAGTCGACTAGTTTCACTAGTCCGATCAGTCCAGCTCATCCAGCTCGGCCGTCGTGTGGTCAGGCGTCTGTCCCCTCTGTTCTGCAGCAGGAGTCGCAGGGTACTCTGTGGCTACCTCCTGTCCTTGTAGATGGCCCCATCCAGAAGAAGCAGAAGCTGCAGCCGAGGTAGTCGTGGCGCTTGGAGTCGTGGCGCTTGGAGCTGCAGTGTCCATGGCCGTTGTGGTAGCCGCCGTGGTAGTCGTCGTTGCCATCTGGATCGGTGCTGCTGCTGCTGGCTGCGCGGAGTGGCATCGGCGAGTGTGCTGCGCACCATTTGTTGGTCCGCAACGCGAGCAGCACTGCAGGAAGCCAGGGTTGACGGCTCGACCACATCCCTGTACGTCACAAAGGTGGTGTACTGGCCTGTCTAGGTCACGACGTGGGGCTCCTCGGTGCGCTCGAGCTCGAGCATGGTCCGCCGTGGCTGCACGAAGATGACGCTGTTGTTGACGGCACCTGCGGGTGTGGCCAGCACCTGTGCGTCTACACTGCCTACAGCAGTGGAGGTGGCCATTGTCCACATACCTGAGAAAGCAGTTGGGTGTGCTGCACAGCCTTAGGCGGATGGTGGCCGTGGCCGGCGCAGGTGCGTTCACCCAAACATTCGCCATGGACCTGAGTGGGCGGGATAAGTGGGTCTTAGGGCTTAGGGGGCAGGGTGCAGTGGCAGACGGAGCAAGGCGCGGCGACGCGGCGAAGCACAACCATGGAGCAGGGCGCGACTTTTCCATGCCACTCGTCTGCTCAATCCCCGAGGCAACAGTGTGCTGGTCTCTTAAAGACCGTCAGGTTAGCAAGCTGCACAAGTAGTGAGAGCGTGCAGTTGGTGACGGCCTATGGGAGCACGAAACCTATTTCAGCCAAAAACTCCTTGGTGCCCGGCAGCAGTTTGGTCGCCGACTGTATGGAGTAGGCCACTAGGATTACACGGTGGCCCTCGCTCCATGGGCAGGTAGCGTGGTGCACTTGGTGCCCGTCAAAGAGTATTCCCGACGCGCTTGTACACAGCTTGGTCCCGGCCATCAAGGTGTCACTGATTTCCATGTAAGAATTACCATTCTTATCCGCCAACCAAAGCTCACCGGCGTTGTGGTGCGACAATCCCAGCAGCAAGCTAGGGCAACAGTCGTTATGCCGATCCACATGCGGCTCTGTGCTGTTGTCCCAGTTCACGGCCATCGAAGTCCAGGTGTGGGACCGGTTAACTGCAATGATGGCTGTATTGAGCAATCGGCACGTGGCCGGATGCCCAATCGTTTCCCGGCAGAGTCCCAGGATGCCGCCCTTCCTGTATGCGCCTAAGCTGAAGGTCGAACCTTGAGCGAAGCCTCGGGGATCCGAGGTGAAGCGCAGCAGGGATACGGTCTCGCGCACTGCAGTCCAAAGTGACCCTGAGCCTTCGGAAAGGTATGCATTGGCCCGATCCTCTGCGGGGCTGCTTGGGCGGCATTCTTGGATCGGCGGGGGTGGGAAATCAACCATACATCTGTGGCTGAGGCCCGCTATTGCGGCCGCATACTGCGTAAATAACTGCTTCTCACAACCTGAGAGCCAAGTGCAGGCCAGGTCGACTATGTCGTTACGGCTGGCCATAGTGATTGCGGANNAGGCCCCGGAGGGCTTCCAGTAGTAAATGCTCCTCCAGCGCAACCGCGTACATGTGCCCTGGTAGCTCCAGTTGTGTCATTCCGGTAGCAGTTCTAGGGCGTCCCTTGCAGCGTACTGCGGGACAGGGACGCGTTGCTCACACTTGAGTGGCTGCGGGTGGCATGGTAACTGCGTTTTGACCACATTGCAGCAGACAGTCCCTGGTAGACAGGACTGAGGCCCACGCAGACACTTGTTGTGTACCGGCAGCGGGAAACTATCAAGGCAAACTGGAGCCACAATTGAGCTGGTGAAAGGGTCTTAAGGACAAGGCAAAGAGGGTGGGGTAAACTACAGGCGTGGCAAAACATTAACTGCGGTGTCGAAAGGCAAGCAGACAAACACGTTTGTGACAGGAGTCTGCAGGCTTCGCGGCACCCTGTCAGCACTAACAGGCCGGTTATGGATGCCGGCCGGGCACCTCGCGGCGAGCCG